ATATTACAAAACTTGACACCGTAGTTGGGACCTTCCTGGCTCCATCCCGTTCTAGGTCTCCATTTAAGAGAACCGTGAAATTACTTCACAACTTTGATATATGCTGAGTGCAAGTCGTGGGAAATGCAATTTAATCAGCCAACTTCTTTATACACGTTCCAGACTATAGCTATATGAAAAATCAAACTATCTTTTCTGCTCATGATGACCTGAATAGCCATGTGCCTTAATGATAAACAATGTGAGTCATCTTACAGGTTAGGAAGGTTGGCAAAGTTGCTAGAGCCATTGCAATCATGAGCCACCCAATTCCGAATACCAACGATTCTCACTCAGCGCAGGTTATTCTTCCACAGAAGCAGTTGGGTCTCAAATCAGATATGTGAGAACTCACCTCATGCCTTTTCCTATGAGATACTTATTTTTGGTTTTTCTCAAATGATGGTGAAGAGAAGATTTGATTAGTTTGTATATGGGATATGTTACAGTTCTTTTTTGTGAAAAAAGTGGTTCCTAAGTAAGCAATTTATATGTGCAACTTTAACTAAGTGATATAAATTTCAATTCTCTGCCATAAGAATTGTGTAAAAACAAAAACTAATTAATCCTTGTTCCAATAAGTTTGGAGTAGGCTTTTTGTCACTTCAATGTGTTGTTTGCTATATCTACCAAAATATCCAATGAAATGAAATCATTGTATGCATCAAGACATGTTAATCTGGTCTACTTCTGTCGTCTTGACCTGTTTTAGTGGGATCACATCGCTTTTATGAACTAGAGCTTTTTTATATCTATCATAGATCTCCAATCTGTTTGCAAGGATACAACCAATATGAAGGTTGAAAAGTCATCCAATATTCTAGAATATCCCACTTATTAGCCGAGGGTCAAAAGGGTAATATGAATATAATAAAATGTCTATAAATGTGATAGGGGGAAGGGGATTAGGGATTCAGTGAATTGTTTAGAGTTTAGTGAGGAAAGATCCGGCTCTAGAATATCCTTGGAAATTGTCATTCAATTTAGTTCAATATAGTTCAGCTCAATTACATTGTTCTTCAACGCATCATAATATACATCTAAGAGAAATCATATTAATTCTACTTCATGCCTTCATCCACCAGTTATAATTCCCGTCATCTAACTACTCAATATGCTGTTGCTATTGCTGGGGATCTGTGAATTAAGAGAATTCCCCTGCTGCTGAGATTCAACTGATGGCTATTCCCAGTACCACTTCTGCTGTAAACCTGAGATGCTGCCCTCTGTGTATCTGCTGAAGAGTTGAATAGTTAGATGACGGGAATTATAACTGATGCATGAAGGAATGAAGAAGAATTAGTATGATTTCTCTTAGATGTATATTATGATGTGCTGGCTGAACTGTATTGAACTGAATTGAATGACAGTTTCCAGGCTATTGGAGAGGCCGGATTTCTTCTCACTAAACTCTAAACAATCCCTCATCC